TGGAAATGATAAAGGTGGTGGTGGACGTGTTGCTTTTGGAATTACAATGGGTGGTGTTGATAAGGATGATAATGATGAATCTGATGTTGTTGTTATTGGTGGTGATGAATGTTTTGTTAATGATAATGATCTTTCAATAATATTTAAAAGTAAATCAAATGTTATTAAATAATTATTTAATTTTGATTCATTTTCAAGTTCATGTAAAATATCTAATGTTGATGATGTATTATCGAAAGAAAATGATGGTGTCCAATAACGTTTAAAAACATCAAATGGTACATGACCACTATTTGTTTTATCAAGTATTGAAAAAAGTTGACGTAAAGAAGATATAAATGGTGCAGGAAGTGAAGAAGTTATTCCTGATTTTGGACGAATATTATTGTTGTTATTATTATTATTGTTGTTGTTATTATTTAATGAAGAGAGTGGTGGAGGAGGAGGTGCTCGACATTTACTTGAATGTGAACGTTGAACATTATGAAGATGTTGTTGTTGTTGTTGACCGTTCATTGTTTCACTATCAATCGATGAAATACATCTATATTAATAGATGAAGAAAAACAGAACTATTCAAATGTGTAAAATAGTTAAAGAAAAAAGAGATTTATTATAAAGAAGAAAAACGAAATAAAAGTATTGCCTTGAGAATAACATAAATTACAACTTTTCATTTCTAAAATAAACATATGATTTAAACTTGTATATTTGAACAAAGAATGAATATTGTCAATTTTGATTTAGAAGTTAGAAGAATTCAGATATATATATATGTTTTTTTTTCTCGCGAAAGTTTTTATTATTACACCTACATTTATTTTATGTACATTTCATATGAGCATGTTCAGATAAAAGCGACACATTAAGTAAAAGAAAGATAGTATCTTACTATTCATTTTTCTCGACAGATATTGATGATAAATAGTGGTCACACATTTCTTATCAAATAATCTAGGTTTTTTTTTCTTACGTCGTATTAACTGAAGTAGTACATTGCTGTAATTTGCCGATCATCTGGTCAAGTCGATCAAGATCAGGACGTACAATATGTGTTAATGTCAATCCTTTCGATTGCTGCTGCTGCTGCTGCACTGGCTGAAACTGAGGCTGCTGTAGCATTTGCTCGTCAGGGGTGGTATGGATATTGAATTTCATATTTGTTTGAAAATGGCTTGCTCCATGACTCGCAAGGTTTTCACTTATACAACATGAAAGAGAGGAAGACAGAGAGGAGGAGAGAAATAGAAACGCAAGTTGTATGTATTTATGTGCTACATACACAATGGGAGAGAGAAAAAGTCCATTAATAATCGCTTCTCTCTCTCTCCTTCTTGTCGTTGTCGCTCTTATGTTTACTATAGGAAACGAAAATGAAACGATACAAAATCAATAGATTGAGTCTGACATCGATGGAATGGAATAAAAACTTATGAACATTAGAAGACGTAACATATGTATAAATACATATTCAACAAAATCGTGTGCTCATTTACCTTTCTAATAAATGTTTTTTTGATAGCAAACAACAAGTCATTGTGTTAATATGTTGAATAAAGGA